AGGCGATTTTTGCTTATCAAACATGAGCTGTAGAAAAGAGAGAATACTCTCCACCTGACAGCTCATGGGGTCTACACCTTGTGTGACACACCATCGTGAAAACACGTTCCATCTACTGGCATACATCTTAGAAGTGGAACTGGCACGTGAACCCTGTATGGTCATGATCACTGCATCAGATAACCCACGGCGCTCTAGCCTGTCCCTCTCAGCAGCCAGGCCTTCAGTGGTTGGCCGATTATGGGCAATTTCCCTATCGTGCCTCCCGCCTGAGACAACGCGTCCCGTCGATGTGGAATTGGCCAAGGTGGCGCAATCAACATCTGACTCATCTCCGCAAACCAAGGAGCCCCCGGGCGATCGGGCGCTATCAGTATCACTGACAGCCCCCCTGACCTCACCCTGGCTAGCAGTGGGAGAATGCAGGACAGCGGAGGGAATGCATACAGGAGAACTCTCGGCCATGGTTGGTGCGCAAAGGCGTCCCTTCCCAGTGGCGGTTCGTCCTGTTCCCTCAGAGAGAACCACAGAGGACATTGCGCGTTCACGCGTGACGCGAATAGGTCCACCTCGGCTCTCCCTAATTGTTCCCAAATCTGAAGAACAATGTCCGGATGCAGACACCACTCGTCGTCTCGAGGACCCCCTCTTGACATGAGGTCTGCTCCTACGTTCAAGTAGCCCGGAATGTGTGCTGCTCTCAATGAGCGAAGGTGCTCGTGAGCCCACAGCCACAATTCCTCTGCCGCCCGATGGAGAGCAGGAGACCTGACTCCTCCCTGGCGATTTATGTGAGCTACTGTGGTCCGGTTGTCTGACCAGACCAGCACATCGCGACCCCGAAGGGTAGACGCGAAGTGGGTCAGAACCAGTCGAACCGTTTCCAGCTCCAAGAGGTTGATATGACGACCTGATTGAGGCCACACACCTCCTATCGCTTGGGTCTGACATGTCCCTCCCCATCCCGTCAGGGACGCATCCGTGAATACTGGGATGCGAGAGGACACCTTTCCTATCGGGACTCCGTGCGTGAGAACGCGCGGGTTTCTCCAATAGTTCAGATCTGCACTGAGCGAGAGGGGAACCACCACCAACCGATGACGTTGACGCAATGGGTCTAGTCTTAGTTGGGCGAACCATCGCTGCATCCTGCGCATATGCAGGAGTCCCAGCGGAACCACAGAGTGGGCTGACGACATGAGACCCAAAAGTGACATGATCGACAGTGCCGTCACCGTGTGATTCGGACGACACTTCCTCAGGGCTAGCAACAAGGCTACCCTTCGGGGGTCCGAAATTCGAGCCCTCATCCTCACAGTGTCTAGCTGTATCCCCAGGTAGACAATCTGATGAGTGGGCCAGGGCGCGCTCTTTTTCCAATTCACAGCAAACCCCAGACTTGTGAGATGCATCACTGTCTGTGTTGTGTGAGTGATCGCCAGCTCTGCTGACGGGGCGAGAACCAGTAGATCGTCCAGGTAGGCTAGTAGCCGTATTCCCTGACGACGCAACGGTTCCAATGCCGCCTCCACACACTTGGAAAATGTGCGAGGTGCCAGGGCGTACCCAAATGGCATCCTCGTGTATTCGTACGCCACCCCTTGAAAAGCGAACCGCAGAAACTTCCTGTGACGCCAGTCTCTGTCATCAGAGCGGCCACTTTGTCTGGCGTTTTCATCACCGTCTCCACCACTCCCTTGAACGGGGGTGGGGTCCGTGGAATTGGAGAGCATAACCCTTCTGCAACGTCTGTTCTAGCCAGCGTGAGAGGGTGCAGCTTCTTCACCACTGCCAGCAATGCAGAGAAAGCGGCTGAGCACGAAGCTGTGGTGCATCCAGTAGGAAGGACCTGTATTCCTCTATGGCCCTTACCGCCACTATTCCCCAACATTGAAGTGGTGGAACAGCCCAAGGTGGGCCTCCCGTGAAAGGGAGAGGAACCATCAATGCGTTCTGAGAGAGAAAGAGGAGCAGGGACGTCGGTTAAACTCGTAACCGTCGTATTCCTGCCCTCCTTGAACGCATCGCGGGTCTGAATTGCGCTGACCGAGGTCACAGACTGCGGCAGGGCACCATCCCCAGCAAGCGATTGCGTCATCTTAGGTGACTGCAATTCGCTATCAGAGCCCTTCACTACAGTACTCCTAGAAGTCTGTAGTATGAGGTAAAACAAGGCGGCGCCTTGATACCTTCTTAACTTTCACCTTCTGTGTGTGTTCAACGCTGCACCCCTGGTGGGTTGATTCACACTCAGTGTGGTGAGTACTAGCTCGTTCTGTCAGGGGAGCCGATACGTTGGTTATACCCATAACCCTAGTAATCCGGCCCTCCGTGAACGTAGCATGGGTCTGAATCGCATTAACCGAGACCTTGGTCTGCGGTAATGCGCCGTCCCCAGATAGCTGCTGTGTTACAATGCCTGGGGGCGCCGATACTCTGGACACCTTCGTGACCGCGGTAATCGGGCCCTCCGTGAACGCAGCATGGGTCTGGCTCGTACTAGCAGAGACCTTAGTCTGTGCTAGTGCGCCATCCCCAAATAGCGGCTGCGTCCTCATGTCAGAATCTGACAGAGACTGCTGCCTGCTATGTAAAGCACTTCTTATACGTGAAGTGTGATGTGACGACCTGATTGAGGTGTTATGGATACCTACTCTAAGTGCCTGTTCAGCAACGCACCCTCGGTGGGCTGAACGGCTCTTAGAGTGGTAAGGAAGAGAGGGTGAGATTTGAACGCTCTCGGACGTATTATGGAAAAGAGGCTCTTTTTTGACAAAGTCAGGTGGAGCCAACTCTTTATTAAACACATCAACAAAGGCATTTACATCAACACCCATCCCTTCAACCGAAGGGTGGGGGGGAACAGTGGGCACGTTCGACACCATCGACGCGTCCTCCATCCACTCCCCCGCGTCCCGTCACGTACGCCTCCTTTTGCCTCCCTTGGAGGGCCAGGTCGGTGTCCTCGTCACCTCCCTCGCCGGCTGAAGTGGGGCTACTCTAGCTGCTGGAAGGGCGGGGCCCGTTCCCTTGCTGCTCGCTGCCGCCGGATGACGCCGATTACGCCGCCTCGCTGTAGACCCCGGTCTACTTTGAGGGGCGGAGGTAGATGGCCTCTGGGACGGAGCGGGGCCGAGTCGTCCTGCCAACGGCAGGTGCTTGGCCAGCTGTTTCTTCTCCTCCTCCAGTTTGGAAAAACTTTCCGTCGCCTCCTTGACTGCGACCCCAAAGAGGCCGTCGTCAGAGAGGGGGGCGTTCAAGAGAGACGTCCTGTCTGCCTCTTTCATGGAAGTCAATGACAACCAGAGGTGTCGCTCCCCGACCACCGAAGTGGCCATGGACCTCCCCGCGCAGACTGCGGACGCCTGTGTTAGGTGGAGTATGGCGCCAGAAATTCTGGACGCCTCCTCCACCTCCTCCGGTGCCAGCTCTGTCTTGCCCGTGGTTAAACGGGACAGAGCGGCCGCCAAGAGGGCAATGTTATTAGCTGCTGCTACAGCTTGGGCTCCCAACCCAAAGGACTTCTCTAACAGCGACGCTGTGAGTCGGTCCTTCTGGGATGGCAATGTGGCCTTTTTGGAAGAGGGCCAAGGGCTCGAACCCGGTACAAGATATGGCGCTCTCTAACCTGGGGATTCCCTTGCCCTGGAACCTTCCTTCCACTCTCGCGAATGGGAGGTACGCTTTCACTGGCGAACGCGCCGCTAAAGGTGCCTCCCACGAGCCCTCAACGTACCTGGCCAAAGAAGGCATGGCAGGAGCCACTGGCTCTGCCGCCTTCCTCGGCCTGGAATAAGGACCGCCCTCCATCATATCAACCTCCGGTGCGGAGGGAAGAGGGGGCAGCCTTATCTCCAGACGTTGCGCAGCTCTCTCAATAAGACCCGGAAAATCCGCTCTCAGAGAGGCTGCAGCGAAGGACAGGGCTTCTGATCTCTCAGAGCTCGTGTCCCCTTCGCTATAGGGACTGCAAGCCCTCTCGCTTTCCAAGGGAAAGGGGGGCTTGAAAATATGAGGGATGGGGTCTGACTGTTCCATCGGAACGCCGGACTCCTCCTCAAAATCCCTATCCTCCCCCGAGTCTGCGCCGTCGGACGACGCCTCTGAAGCAGAGGCTAGTATCGACAGCACGTCCTCAAGGGGGATGTCCTCCCTAAAAAACGCCCAACGCTGCTTCCTCTCCTTTAAAGAAAGGAGGGCGCAGGAGGCGCAATTCGGGGGACTGCAGACGCCTTCCTTGGCATGCTGGGATCCCAAACACACGAAACACAGGTCGTGGTGGTCACCGGTCGCCATAGAAGTGCATCTGCACTGAGCTCTGAAAAGAGCTTTTGGGGGTGGGAAATCTCCCGGTGTGCTCATTTAGACGACGTTGATGACTGGAATATCAACGGCGTTTTCGTCCTGAGTCTTCGTGCTTCGTCTCTTCTTGGCTCTTCAGTCTAGTCATCCAGTCGCTGAAGATAAAGGGAGGCTGATTGAGGGGAGGCATCCCCTCTTATAGGGACACCTGTGCTCCTATTGGCTGCAGGTGTGTGCATAATTTTGTCTCAGGCTGTTGCTGCCTTAGGGCAGAGGGTAAACCACTAGGAGCAGAGCTCCCCTATGGGGCGGAGCTCCACGATATAGAACTGATGCGCTCCATTGCACTGTAGGGAGATGCTGAGGAGCAAGCGTTGTCTGTGCACTCATGGCTCACATTCGCTCCACTGCTCGCTCTGTTTGCTACAAATTTACATTGTAACTTGTCACTGATCTTAAAGGAATAGTGCAAGATTTTGGCAATCAAGCCCATCCAGTCATTGCAGTAACACTAGTTAGCAATTGCGCTAATAGTAGTGAACAACTTCCTTCAAACTTCATGCAGAAACATAAAAATGGTTTTCATGAGTTCATCTGGGTATGTAGAAAAAGGGCTTAATTGCCAAAATCTCGCACTATCCCTTTAAAAGCACATCTCGGCAAAAATATATACAAAAATGTATATTTTTAAAATCATTTTTTTGGGGGAGTGGCAGCAACGGAAACAATGAATATAAGGGAAACACTGCCTGTAATTATTTCTGTCTCTGTGATTAATGTGCATCTCTCTCCCTCCACAGAGACCAGTAAGGTGGACTATGTGCTGTTCCAGGCAGCCACGGCCGTCATGGAGGCGGTGGTACGGGAGTGGATCCTGCTGGAGAAGGCCAGCATTGAGTCACTCCGGACATTCCTCCTCACTTACGTTTTACAGAGACCCAAGTAGGCGTGTGTGTGTAGAGGCAGCATGAATTAGATTCTCAAGGATCTATCAATTTCACCTCATGCAGGCCTGTAATGCAGTTTAAAAGCATGTCTCTCCTCTCTCTCTCCCAGTCTACAGAAGTATGTTCGGGAGCAGATCCTGCTAGCTGTAGCAGTCATAGTGAAGAGAGGCTCTCTGGACAAGTCCATCAACTGTAAAGGCATCTTCCACGAAGTCAGCCAGCTCATAAGCAGCGGCAACCCCACAGTGGTAAGAAACACAGGCCTAATTCATACACTTATTACAGACACAAGAGACGCATGTATAAGGCTGTGTTTACACAGGCAGCCCAATTCTCATCTTTTTTTCACTAAATGGTCTTTTGACCAATCGCATCTGATCTTTTCATATAAGATCTTTTTCAGAGCTGATCTTATTGGTCAAAAGACCAATTAGTGAGAAAAAAAATCTGAATTGCAGCTTATGATTATCAGTCATATTTACATTTTAGTCATTTAGCAGATGCTCTTATCCAGAGCGACTTACAGTTAGTGAGTGCATACATTTTCATACTGGTCCCCCGTGGGAAATGAACCCACAACCCTGGCATTGCAAGCGCCATGCTCTACCAACTGAGCTACAGGGGACTATATCACGTAATATGTCAAACATAGAAAAAGTTTTATGTCATAATTATCAAAGACGTGGTAGGAGTACACTCATGTAAGTTATATGGGAGAAGAGCTCATCAGAATGTTTACAAAACACTGGAAGATAAACAAGTCCACTCCCTGAAATCCCACAGTGATAGATGTTCACTGTGCTTCTGGCTTTAAAACCAGTTAAATGTAACTAAATAATCGAAAATGTAGGTAATCTACATAATGCCCAAAAGTAATTATTTATCATGAGAGGGCCATAAACAATATCTAGTTATGCTGCATACTCCAAGAAATATTAAAATCTCACCTTTCTGGTAAAAATAGTTATAAATTGCTGAGGAGTAGTCACTTTTGAGGACACAAGCTCAAGTACACAGTACAAATATGCTGAAAATAGGAAATATTTTATGATGTATTTCCTATTCAACAAAACTGGATGAATCAGGCTTGAAATGACATGCTTTCTAAATATAGTATAATCAAATTATAAAACGACTATCGATAAGAATTTACCTTATAACTGTAAAATACATATTTGTATGTTTAGTGTTAGAAAATGTGCATATTTTCTAAAGGTCTTTCTTGATCAAAACATCTGCCCCCATCTCTGTGAACGTCTCACAGAGCTCTAGCGTGGCTTCCTGAACTTGTTAGGAACTCTCCTTTCATCTCATTAATATTGTCCATCTATGACAGTGTTTTTTGTTTAAAATCTATGAATTGTTTTAGATTACTAGCTATAAAGATCTCTGAATGTGCCACAGCGACGAAACCACTCTGTCCTGCCGCACTATGATGTAAGGATTCCAGGCATATGCATTGTTAGTGGCTGTGACATAGGGTTCAGCCAGGAGTTGGACAGTCGGAAGAGCGAATGAAATGGTAGGAGGGACATCCCAGCTTAAAGTGGTGTCAGATTTCACATCCTGCTTCATACAGGCAAAATATACATACTCCTGTGTTGGTGAGAATCAGGACTACTGCTCAATGGAAGCCATTTCAATCTATGGTGTCCACAGATTGATTTATAAGCTAAAATGTTGGTTGGAGCCGTTACCAGAACCACGCAGGTCCCCAAAACAGGGGAGTTAAATGCCCATGCGGTACCCACTGTTCTTTTGAGATTTCTGGTCTCCCCAACCTGATTTGAGCTCTCCCAGTAGTATAACTGTCTCCACTAGATGGCAGTCTGTCTTCAGGAGGCCAGGGAGGGTTTCAAGGCTTGGGTCTATTTAGATCTGTCCTCTTTAGTAAGCCGGTTGCTGTCCTTTTGTCAGCTACCCTCAATGTAACATATATGACATCAGACGGTGTGTGTGACCTCTGACCCGTGTGTGTGTGCCCCTGCAGCAGACGCTGGCCTGCTCCATCCTGACGGCCCTCATCAGTGAGTTCTCCAGCTCCAGTAAGACCAGTAACATCGGCCTCAACATGGAGTTCCACGGCAGCTGCAAACGCATCTTTCAGGTCAGACCTCCTCTCTTCCTCCTGCTCCTTCTCCTCCTTTCTCCTCTGTCCCTCTAACTGAATGCTATGCTCTCTCTGACTTGCTAGGAGTGTGTGTTTGTGTTCTGATGTGTGTTTGTGTTCAGGAGGACAACCTGCGTCAGATCTTCGTATTGACCATGGAGGTGCTGCAGGAGTTCAGTCGCAGAGAGAACCTCAATGCTCAGATGTCCTCTGTGTTCCAGAGATACCTGGCCCTGGCCAATCAGGTCCTTAGCTGGAACTTCTTGCCACCCAATCATATCCTTTCTTGCGTCCACAGTGTTTCCCCATTGGTGGGATATACCCCACTGGTGGGTAGTAGTTTATTCCCTTTGGGTCATGGAAGAATTATATTATTATAATTTGAAAATAACTTTTTGGATGGTAAAACGTTTTCAGTGTGAAGTTAAACGACTAAAAGTAGATAAAAAGTATTTAGAAAAGATAATGGAGCTCCATGGCAAAATGTGTAGAATAGCAGAAAATTTGCTTTAAAATAGCAACATTTTGTCTCTGCGGCCAAGATGAGGGCCTTTAAAACCTTGCTATTGGTCACCCTAACTTTGCCACCGCTGCTGATAAAATCCTAGGGGAAACACTGAAGACTATGGTTTGATCAGAAACATTGGTCTTGTTTGTTAGGTGAGTCATAGGACAATGTGGCAGTCTTGGGTAAAGTGCAGAAGGTTTGGGGTGTGGCATATGGTCGTACCATTTATGTTTTCATTTGTTGCTCTCATATTTGGCTGTGTGTGTGTTGGTTTGTTCTAAGACTGTGTGTGTGTGGGTGCGCGCACGTGTGTCATTGGCCTGTTGAGCTCATTGGAGCGTTAATCCTACTCAGACTAGCAGTCTCTCTCTCCCGCCTCTATGTTTAAAAGGATCTGAGGTGGCGTCGCTGCAAACCAGGGTTATGTATCACTTTCAAAGAGGCGCTGTGTGTCTGTGCTCATACCAGATAGCAGCCCGATAACCATGTCTCTTTAATGGGGGACAGGCAAGGGGGTCGAGGGCCGCCAGCCTCTTTAAACCCAACAGCTTGTTGAGTGTCCGTCTGGAATGTCAAACATGGTCCTGTGTGTCCGTGTATGTGTGTCAGGGTTTCTGTTAGGAAAATTTGGCTCCGGACAACGTGACCGGGAAGATTTTAATTTACTGGACATTTGAGAAATTTACCAGACATCCATATGCATTCAGATCCATGAGTAGAAAGAGAGAGAAAGAAACCTCCGACCTGGTGCAGCCAGCGCCATCAATAAACAAGGGATATTGGCCAAATGAGCTACATTTACGTGTCCTTAAACAGCCAAATTACAAAAACACTTCCTTTTGTTTCGGTGTGTAGCATTTGCTAAACTTTGGGTTAAGTGCTTTGCTCAAGGGCACATCAACAGATTTTTCACCTAGTCGGCTCAGGGATTCAAACCAACAATCTTTCGGTTACTGGCCCAACGCTCTAACCGCTAGGCTACCTGCTACCCAGTAGCATATGCTAAACTTTATAGCGTATTGTTTTATTGGTTTTTACTTTCCTAAAACAATAATTGTCCACCTCACGGTTCAGCTGTCAGAGATTTGAGCACTAAATGCATCATAGTATTGGCCATGCATAGGCCTATAGACTTAGGTGTATAGACCTGTATGATATAAAAAAGTAATATAAAGGTAGAGAAGCTTAGGCCTAGCCCCAGAGTGATAGAGAGAGAGAAATGGAGATCTGCCGGTGGCATGCTACGACACTGACATGCATTTCTTTGTCCATGTCAGATAGGCTACTGCGTCTGCCATACAGATATAGGTTTACAGAAAGAGGCTCATTTGTTAATTATTCTATCAGAATATTTGTTATAAAGATGAGCATGATATCTTTAGATTATAGGAGTAATTCTGGTAGGCCTAAAACATGTTTCCTTACCTCAAGTTCAACTGTCGGTAGCTAAAGCTTAATAATAGCTACACCACACCAAACCTTCACAAAAGTTTCTAAACTTTATTAAGGTAATATCAAGTGTTTATAGGGAAAATATGAGCAGGCTATTACACTGAACAAAAATATAAACGCAACATCGTTTATGTTTTGGTCCCATGTATCATGAGCTGAAGTAAAAAATCCCAGAAATGTTCCATACACACAAAAAGCTTATTTATCTCACATTTTGTGCACAAATTAGTTTACAAGCATGTTGGTGAGCATTTCTCCTTTGCCAAGATAATTCATCCACCTGACAGGTGTAGCATATCAAGAAGCTGATTAAACAGCATGATCATTACACAGGTCCACCTTGTGCTGGGGTCAATAAAAGGCCACTCTAAAATGTGCAGTTTTGTCACAACACAATGCCACAAGTGTGTCACGTTTTGAGGGAGCGTGCAGTTGTCATGCTGACAGCAGGAATGTCCACCAGAGCTGTTGCCATAGAATTGAATGTTAATTTCTCTACCATAAGCCGCCTCCAACGTCATCTTAGAGAATTTGGTAGTATGTCCAACCGGCCTCACAACCGCAGACCACATGTAACCGTGCCAGCCCAGGACCTCCACATCCGGCTTCTTCACCTCGGGATCGTCTGAGACCAGCCACCCGGACAGCTAATGAAACTGTGGGTTTGCACAACTGAATTAGCCTCCTTCTGTACATCTATATCTGTATAGCAGACGCAGTAGCCTGTCGGTATTGTAGCATGCCGCCGGCATATCGCTCTCTCTCTCTCTCTCTGGGGCTAGGCCTAAGCTTCTTTTCCTTTTTATATATATTTTTTAAATATTAATATCATACAGTGGACGCCTATGCATGCAATGCCCTGATGCATTTAGTGCTCAAATCTCTGACAGCTGAACTGTGAGTTGGGCCATTATTGTTTTAGGAAAGTAAAAACCAAATAAAACAATAGGCTATAAAGTTTTGCATATGCTACTGGGTAGCAGGTAGCCTAGCGGTTAAGAGCGTTGGGCCAGTAACCGAAAGGTCGCTGGTTCGAATGCCTGAGTCGGCTAGGTGAAAAATCTGTCTGTTCCCTTGAGCAAGGCACTTAACCCTAATTGCTCCTGTAAGTCGCTTTGGATAAGGTCATCTGCTAAATGACTTAAATGTAAATGTATACACATTGAAACACAAGGAATAGTGTTTTTGTAATTGTGGCTCATTTGGCCAACAACCCTCGTTTATTGATGGCTCTGGCTGCGTGGGTGGACATGCAATGCATATGGATGACCGATACATTTCTCAAATGTCCGATAAATTAAAAATCTTCCTGGTCACTTGTCCGGCGCCACATTTTCCTAACGGAAACCCTGGTGCGTGCTGTCTGGATGCTTGTTTGAACAGAGAACAGATTTATGGAGACTTCTGGGAAGGTAAATCGGTGTGGCCTTCTGTCCATGTGTATCAGACATGTCTCTGTCTGAATTTGAGAGTGTCCGTGACCGTGTGTGTCAAGGGGCCACTCCTTAATTGCATGCCTGACAGCTGTAGCCTGTTAGCCCCCCCCCCCCCCCCCTCTTTAAAGACTCTTTTTAAAACACCACAGTGGCTCCATCCTTCATCTATCTGCGCCACACTCCCCCTCCGGGCCCATTATGTGCGTCATCTCTTAGAGACCCGCGCCCCCTGCGTTAGTAAGACAGCGCATCTCTCCACACTGATGTTAACCCCAGAGTCGGGATGGAGTTGTGGTCAGGCCTCAAGGCTGGTCAGGTGCTCTGAATGGCTACTGTGGATGACACAACCCCTATGTCCTGCCCCCTGCCCCTTGCCTTGACCCACTGGGGACCTTGACATAAACAAACACCCCAAACAGGGAGTAAGGCTATCTTGGGGACAGTTGTCCTAACTCAGGCACAGGTGAGGGGGAAATTGGGGAGTAGGGTTGGGTGAAATTTGGGGAGACCGCTTCTACGGTATGCTACTCCAAATATTGCAATATCCAATATAATCGTTTTGGGCCATTTGTGTGCTTATTTCCAATATTATAGTCACATTCTCATTTTTAAAGGGAGGTGGCGTTTTCAGCTGTGCTAACATAATTGCAAAAGGGTTTCTAATGATCAATTAGCCTTTTAAAATGATAAACTTGGATTAGCAAACACAACGTGCCATTGGAACACAGGACTGATGGTTGCTGATAATGGGCCTCTGTACACCTATGTAGATATTCCATAAAGAATCAGTCGTTTCCAGCTACAATAGCCATTTACAATATTAACAATGTCTACACTGTATTTCTGATCAATTTGATGTTATTCTAATGGACAAAAAATTTGCTTTTCTTTCGGAAACAAGGACATTTCTAAGTGATCTCAAACTTTTGAATGGTAGTGTGTGTATATATATATATATATATATATATAAATATTACTAACAACAGATTAAACACATTTTGGCCAAGGGATCCGTGGAATAAGTTTAGAGGGTGTAATATAATATTATTAAGGCCGTGGTTACGAATACAGAGTTTTTGACCCACGCCCCTATGGAAACCTCTCGCAAAGCTAAGGATCCGGATAACGTTCTGTACATGTGTTATTTTACGCACACTACATACAGTGAGGGGGAAAAGTATTTGATCCCCTGCTGATTTTGTACGTTTGCCCACTGACAAAGAAATGATCAGTCTATAATTTTAATGGTAGGTTTATTTGAACAGTGAGAGACAGAATAACAACAAAAAAATCCAGAAAAACGCATGTAAATTTTTTTATAAATTCATTTGCATTTTAATGAGGGAAATAAGTATTTGACCCCTCTGCAAAACATGACTTAGTACTTGATGGCAAAACCCTTGTTGGCAATCGCAGAGGTCAGACGTTTCTTGTAGTTGGCCACCAGGTTTGCACACATCTCAGGAGGGATTTTGTCCCACTCCTCTTTGCAGATCTTCTCCAAGTCATTAAGGTTTAGAGCCTGACGTTTGGCAACTCGAACCTTCAGCTCCCTCCACAAATGTTCTATGGGATTAAGGTCTGGAGACTGGCTAGGCCACTCCAGGACCTTAATGTGCTTCTTCTTGAGCCACTCCTTTGTTGCCTTGGCCGTGCGTTTTGGGTCATTGTCATGCTGGAATACCCATCCACGACCCATTTTCAATGCCCTGGCTGAGGGAAGGAGGTTCTCACCCAAGATTTGACGGTACATGGCCCCGTCCATTGTTCCTTTTGATGCGTTGAAGTTGTCTGTCCCCTTAGCAGAAAAACACCCCCAAAGCATAATGTTTCCACCTCCATGTTTGACGGTGGGGATGGTGTTCTTGGGGTCATAGGCAGCATTCCTCCTCCTCCAAACACGGCGAGTTGAGTTGATGCCAAAGAGCTCCATTTTGGTCTCATCTGACCACAACACTTTCACCCAGTTCTCCTCTGAATCATTCAGATGTTCATTGGCAAACTTCAGACGGGCATGTATATGTGCTTTCTTGAGCAGGGGGACCTTGCGGGCGCTGCAGGATTTCAGTCCTTCACGGCGTAGTGTGTTACCAATTGTTTTCTTGGTGACTATGGTCCCAGCTGCCTTGAGATCATTGACAAGATCCTCCCGTGTACTTCTGGGCTGATTCCTCACCGTTCTCATGATCATTGCAACTCCACAAGGTGAGATCTTGCATGGAGCCCCAGACCCGAGGGAGATTGACAGTTATTTTGTGTTTCTTCCATTTGCGAATAATCGCACCAACTGTTGTCACCTTCTCACCAAGCTGCTTGGCGATGGTCTTGTAGCCCATTCCAGCCTTGTGTAGGTCTACAATCCTGTCCCTGACATCCTTGGAGAGCTCTTTGGTCTTGGCCATGGTGGAGAGTTTGGAATCTGAATTGATTGATTGCTTCTGTGGACAGGTGTCTTTTATACAGGTAACAAACTGAGATTAGGAGAACTCCCTTTAATAGTGTGCTCCTAATCTCAGCTCGTTACCTGTATAAAAGACACCTGGGAGCCAGAAATCTTTCTGATTGAGAGGGGGTCAAATAATTATTTCCCTCATTAAAATGCAAATCAATTTATAACATTTTTGACATGCGTTTTTCTGGATTTTTTTGTTGTTATTCTGTCTCTCACTGTTCAAATAAACCTACCATTAAAATTATAGACTGATCATTTCTTTGTCAGTGGGCAAATGTACAAAATCAGCAGGGGATCAAATACTTTTTTCCCTCACTGTGTGTGTGTATGTATGTATATATATATATAAATATATATATATATATATATATATATATATATATATATTTTTTTTTACATAAAAAAACTCCTTGTATGCTATTTTTATCTCCCTCCAATTATGTTCAGATTATGAGGGGGTACCTGATGAATTTGTTGTCACAAAAGGGGTCCCCGGTCCCAAAACGTTTGCGAACACCTGATTTTAGACTTTATTTTCAACATATTGATATAGTCTTTTAACTTATAAAACTGCACAGTTTTGCTTTGTAAAGTAAAATAGAGTCTTGCACATCACAATATATCGTCAGTCAAATATCACGATATTCGAATTAATCATATCGGCCCAACCCTATTGGGGAGGGCAGAAGATGGGGGGGGGGGGGGGAGGGCAGAAGATGGGGGGGGGGGGGGGGGGGGGGGGGGGGGGGGGGGCATTTCTCCAGTGTTATTTCACATGGCAAGGCTGCAAGCAAGTCTTAGTGAAGGATGTATCACTTAAACCCTACCACTCCTTAACATAGCTTTGTACTCTTAACCTGTCCACTGTCGATGTACTGTATCTAAATACAATGGCCTCAAGTCATCTGGACAGAAAATACCTAGATGAGTTCAATATAGGCTTTCACTATAAGTAAAAACACTTCTATATAGACTTCAAATATTACTCAAGTGTGTTTACACCAATAGTGTCAAGACGCTTAAAAACGGTGTCATCTAATTTCTACAGATTGCACAGTTGTCATATGAGTTGCAACACTGTTGACAGATGACTGTAAATTGAGAGACAGTTGATGGACAACTGTAAATGTTGGATACTAAAGCAATGCTCTAAAAGTGGTGCTGGACGTTTGACCTGTCATCCAGACCAGTTTTAGTGCAGCAGGGTTCAGAGCCCAGCAGGAGGTCTCTGTCTCTCCGTCTCCTCTTCCTTTGTCTCTGTAGGAGAGGTAACAGAGTACTGTTGCTTATTCTGGAGCGTGCTGGAAGGTTGGACAATGTGATGATAGATGAGTGATATGTGGAAAAAGGAACCCTACTCTGAGCACATCCATCAATCCACAAGCATGTACATTCATGCTCATACACACGCACAGACTCATGACCTTCTTTACTCTACTGTACGTAAAGTAAAGAATATCCATTATTCGATCTAAGATCCATTCCAAATTGCTTGAGTGTATATACCCCAAATTCGTATATTTTTATTTGACTGATACATACATGGTTGTCAGTAAAGTAAATCTCTCACACATATGAACTCAAGCAGAATGTGGCACAGAGGTGGTCGGGCTGTAGGGTTAATACCCCTGTCTCCAACACTCTTCCCAAGAGGCTTCTCACACACTCGCTCGCTCGCTCGCTCTCTCTCTCTCTGTCTGTTCACTTAGTTCTGGTGGACCAGGGCTATATAAATGGCCAAAAAGCCAAGGCTGCTGTGGGGAGAGGGGCACAGAAACGCACCTGTCTCGGTAGCACGATTGTGTAGGGTGTGTTTGGGAGTGACTGTTGGTCCGGCCCAGTGGAATGCTTGGTCTGTGCCGGTGACTGGCTTTCTTGTGGGAGTTTCCTCACTGGGCCTCAGCACAGACAGGGAGAAAAAAGACAGAGTGAAGGAAAGAGAGAGAGAACCTTGAGTGTGAGAGAGGGCAAGAGAGTCAGGGAGGGAGAGAGTGGCAGACTTGATGAGCGAGAACTAGTGAGTTAGTAACCGCAAGTTTCCACTGCACTCAGACCTCAGAAGCTCAGAGAGGAGAGAGTGGCAGAGGGAAAGAGAGGGAGAGAGACCAGATTCCACTGTGACTGACAGACAGACGGCTCTAGTGACAGGGAATCTGTGTGTGAGAGTCAGCGTTCCTCATGTTGTTGGCCTTAACCTGGGGGTCACTGGGGCGCCACTACATCGCCATTTTCGAGTCCACCCAGAACGTGATGCTGAAGCCCACAGAGACCTGGAGAGAAGCCCTGCTTGACACCCGCGTCATGGACCTCTTCTTCACCGTGAGTATTCTCTTTCTCTCCATCTCTTTTTGTAGCTAGAATATGACTCTTTGTCCCTTGTCTCCTCTTGTGGTTCTTACCACAGATTGGGAGAGGGAGGGTTTGAACTGTGTATTTTATGAGGCATGTGAAACATATTACATAATTTTTAATACGTCTCTATAAAATATATTTATTGCAATGTAGTAGTATTTTTTTCTAGGTGACGTGTAGATATGGTAGGGAAATGTGTGTTTTTATAAAGTGTTGTGTGTGAGTAAGTGTGGAACAAATCAGTCAGCTCTCCCTCAGAATCCAGGCTCTCTCTGCCAAATACTGCTCCCTTCTCCTCCAGGGCAATATCCTGTCACTGGAGGCTTCTCTCTATTCTGCATCTCTCAATTTCTACAATTGACATGAGATATAATGTTGTTGGATGACTGAGGTTGAGAGGCCCATAGAGTTTTTGAGTGGTTTGGACCTGAAGATATCTTTTTTTATTGTGGACTTTTTTGTCCAGCTTCTCTGCAAAGTTTTAAATGTGTGTAACCCCCTCTCCTTTCATTGAGTGCTTTGGGACCAGAAGATCTCTATTGTATTGTGTCTGGCCACTGACCAGTATTGGTCTAACAGAGTGCTGGTGTCTCTTACCTCCCTCTGTGGTATTTGTGGTGGATGGGGTGTTTGTTATTGTAAGACTGCTGTAGTGCAACTGTTTGTCTTGTGTGTGTGTGTGTGTGTGTGTGTGTGTGTGTTTTGGGGGTGCTCAGCTGCTGCTCCTCAATCCTCAGCTGTGAGGGTGAAGGCCCAGGGAGGGGGCCGTCCAGACACGTGCCGCCAGGGTCAGAGTTCAAACAGAGCGATGGCAGGATTACACCCTAACCCTGGGATTATTAGGGCCCTATAAAGTCCGCGTTGCGGAGAACACGGACAAAATCACGGAATCTGAACATTAAAACGGAATTCAACAATATTAAAATGTTTTAGTCATAAGACATAACAAAATGCATCAGTGATTTGTATTTTCCTGCAACTTTCTGAAACGACACAGGAATGCCCCTGTGTGTGTGTGTGTGTGTGTGTGCGTGCGTGCGGCCGTTAGCAATGATGCTAATGATAACCTTCTTCTGGTAGAGATGGAAGGCTTTCCCAAAAACCTTCTCAAGTAAATGTTAACTACACAGTAGCCTATGCCTACCAAAATGATATCACGATTCTGCAATCACATGAGCGCTACAGAAACATAGCTAACCAAACAACGGTATCTTGCTTGTGCCCACTTGCATTAAAGGGTAACTACACCCAAAAATCCAAATGTCTTCTGTTTTTCCTCAGACCTAAAAAGTGGTCTCCTGATGTGATTTAAGCGTTATTGTGGATTTAGAACATCCAATTTTGTTGTTTTTCTATTTAAAATGTGTGACTTTAGAGCTAAAACCAGAAAAAACTGGTAGAAATGGAAACCTGAGAAAAAAGAATTTGGGAAAAAATAAGAGATTTTATAGGGCCCTTGATTAGGGGGCCCCATTAACAACACCTCGCACACCCTCTTAAGGACCCTGAGGGGGGTCCATCTCCCCCTGTGTGGGTGTCAATCTCCCTTTAAAAGACTCCACTCTGGAGGCGAAGTGGTCTAGGAGGGTTGGAGAGGGGCAGAAGTTGGCGAAAGATGTCTCCCTCCAAGTACATACATCCACTCTTGTCCTTTACATTGCGAAGTTGAAGCTTCAGTTCAGTGACTAACAGATCTGAAAGGGAAAAAAAATGTTAGAGGTAGAGTGAATAGACAGCGTTCTCAGTTCCACTCTGAGACATTGGTCTAGGCCAGGGAGGATAACTTGGCGAAGGGCAGAAGATGGGAATGATGCCACCCTCAAAATACATCCATCTGCTCTGTTCTTTTGACACCTAGCGAAATGAGCGCTAAGCTAACTTTTTTCCCCACCAGCTGTAATTTGGGTCTACGACTGTTTTTTTGTTTGTGGTTTGCGTTGGTTTTGGCTTGTGAGAGTGGCTTTAATTTGTCATTCACACACGTACACTCAATCTCTGTTTGCCCCAGTAAACCCAATCAGGGCTGCGTCTGGAGCGCTGAGCCTATGATGGCTGATTCCACCCTGGGCGGCAGTAACTGAATCTGAACGAACGAGGGAGTGAGAAAAGGAGAGAGAGAGAGAGACAATCAGACGGAAGCGCTCAGTTGATTTAAAAAAACAGAAAGACGAATCTCCAATCCCCCTGAGGAAACAGACACCAGGCTTTGTCTCCTGCTATAAATAGGAGAGTCATTCTCTCTCCGCAGAGGAGTACCCAGTCTTGTTTTGATTCCCCCCTCTACCCCCTGCCTGTCTCTAACTATAGTTCGACTCGAGACGATTGACATAGCTGGCGTTGCACGGATGTTCGTTGGTGCAGCTGTTTTTAGAGCGCGTGCGGCGTGCAGTCTTTGGCCTTGCGTTCTCTTTCTCTCTCTCCCTCCCTCTTTCCTTCCCTCCCCTCCTTCCTTCCCCTTCACGCCACTCCTCCAGAGAAAGACTTCAGATTCTGGAGAGGGCAGCAGCAGCAGCACTACCCAGCAGCAGAGATCTCTTTGCTACGCTACACTAGCATCAGAGCCCTAGGAACACCGTGGCTGACAACCAACCACTACAGCTGGAGAAGGGAGGGAGAGAAAGAAAGGGAGTGAGAGAAGGAGTCTCTGAGGAAGAAGGGATAGTGGAGGTGGGGAAAGAGTTCTGGAGCTGTTTGGGGTTGCGTTGTGCTTGTGGGACTAGCACCGGGGCTTTTTCAGGGTCAATAACAGTACGAGAAAGAGAAAGGGAGAAAAAGCAGACAGAGAATAGACAGATTTCTGAGTCAGCGCTTAGAGCCAGGCGTCCACATTGCGCTGCCTGTCACTGAAAACACACGTTGCTCCACAGTGGAGCTGAAGCCTCCTCACCTCCCAGTCACTACGCAGCTGATTGACCATGCAACTTCTCTGACAGAGAATCACAGGTTCTCTCTGACTACTGACTGACTCTGGGTTTGATTGAGACTGCCTCGGAGAGATTCAGACGGGCTCTGTGATCGATTGGTATTGTCTGTGTTGACATCCAGAGTTACTGTGTCTGGGTCCAGTGGCTGACATTTTGAGCATTGATTTTCTGTTCCCTTTGCTTCAGAAGACGGTGAGTCTGTCACTTCAGTTTGTCTTATAATGCTGTCTTTTTCTGGTTATAAACAGAAACTACTGAAACTGCATTGAGAGTTGTGGCTCTGTCAGTTGTACCCGTGGCATAACCGGCCCTAGTCAGGTGTGTGTATGATCCGTGTTACTTTGTCTGAGATGCACAATGTGGTACGGAAGGTACAAATCAAGGTTGGGGTCAACTCCATTACAGCCCAGTCTTTGTAGGTAAAAAATACCTGGATAGATTTTCACCCTGCTGCTTTCACTGCTCTGCTCATTTTACATTTAAGGTCTCACACAATCATCATTATCATAATCGTCATCAGAAAAAAGTATATTCTCTGTCCTTTAAAACTAACATGGGCAAGAGCTTGTATGTTATTATATCTCCCTTGCTCAAAATAACAACTATTTCATTATAACCTTCCCTGCTCCCCTCCACTCAGGTCCACAGAAAGATCCGTGAGGACTCGGACATGGCCCAGGACTCCCTGCAGTGCCTGGCCCAGCTGGCCTCCATGCACGGCCCAATCTTCCCTGATGAGAGCGCCCAGGTCTCCTACCTGGCCCACCTGGTGGAGGGGCTCCTCAGCATGATCAATGGGTGAGTCTGTCAGAGCCTTAGACTAACTCTGGTTGGTTTCAATGGACCCAATCCAGGGCTAGAAACACTGCTGCCCTAAATTAATTTGAAACTTGGGCAGTTGTTTTCAGATGACACATGTAGATGCATCAGTACTGCATGATGATTATTTGGACTAGAGGCTGGTAGCATGAATAATGTGATTTGTGTGTCCTCTCAGTTGAAGTAGTACTTATCTGAATCAACAGGGCTCTGCTCTAATGTATAAATAAAACACACACACACACTTGTTCTCGGAACTCGTGACTCAGTAGGTGGAGTGAGTTAGGGTCTCTCTCTCCCCTCTCTCGCTCTTCTCTGTAATCAACTATTCCTGGAGCTTTTTTCCAGTTGCATCATCGGAAAACCATGCGGGCAGGATGGCCAATCTGCAGTGATTGAACAGCTCTGCTTGCAATTGAAATCTATCTGATAAGGTTTAGCGAGCCGCACAGTTCTAGGCAGTAGGCTAGCTACGGCAGGCAGGCCTCAAGACAGTACTCTAACTGGGACTGTGGAAACCCGGCCCTACCCCAGGGCAACAGGTCCTGCTCAATGCTCACACACTGGGCAGCACAGCACATCGTCTGGTTTAGTACCATACCTGTTTCAAACACATTTGTGAAATACTTTCAAAAACTCATCTTTTCCAGATTTGTCTGATTTGAATGAAATTGGCCAACATTCCTCTAAGGTTGTGTTTTGTTTGTGTCCCTCCCCCAGGATAGAGATCGAGGACTCTGAGGCGGTGGGCATCTCTAACATCATCTCCAACCTGATCAGCACATTTCCCCGTGCCATCCTGACCGCCCTGCCCAACGAGCTCTTCACCTCCTTCATCAACTGTCTCACCCTCCTCACCTGCTCTTTCGGACGCAGCGCCGCCCTGGAGGAAGTGGTCAGCATTACACCTCAATCCTTAATGCAGGAACATTACATAGTTGATCCATGAAAAATATAAAATAATGTGTTGTTGCGTTGAAAACGCACATTCAATTAATCTCTCTCTCCCCCGCTATCTCCCTTCTAGCTGGATAAGGATGACATGGTATACATGGAGGCGTATGACAAGCTGTTAGAGTCATGGCTGACCCTGGTTCAGGATGATGAACATTTCCCCCGTGGCTGCTTCGTCCAGCCCGCCGTTCAGGTCTTCAACTCCTACATACAGTGTCACCTGGCTGCCCCAGACGGCACCCGCAACCTGGTGAGACACTCACACACACGTCAATCTAGACTCAAATAATCAGTCAGTCAATTGTTTTCATGGGTAATTGATATGTCAATGCTTTCAACAGTCAATCCACCATGATACACGTCTTCTAACTCCTTTTTTAGTATTTTTTTAGTGATCCAATTGACATTTTAGTCATTTAGCAGACGCTCTTATCCAGAGCGACTTACAATTAGTGAGTGCATACATTTATCATACTGGCCCCCCGTGGGAAACAAACCCACAACCCTTGCGTTGCAAGCGCCATGCTCTACCAACTGAGCTACAGTTTGTCATACATTCCCGCACTCACTCTCTTTCTGTTTTCTTTCTTCTTCTCTCTCTCTCCATCTGACTCTTCTCCTTCCTTGGTCATGGTCCCTCTTTAATGTTATGGTCTCTCCCTCCCTCCAGACGGTGAACGGCGTGGCATCTCATGAGGAGGAGGAGATTAACGAGTTACAGGAGGACGACAGAGAGCTGTTCTCAGATCAGCTGGCCAGCATCGGCATGTTAGGACGCATCGCAGCCAACCACTGTATCCCCCTACTGACCAGGTATGTGTGTATGTATGTGTATATATATATATATATATATATATATATATATATATATATATATATATATATATATATATATATATATATATATATATGAAAGAGTTCCCACATATGCTGAGCACTTGTTGGCTGCTTTTCCTTCACTCTACGGTCCGACTCATCCCAAACCATCTCAATTGGGTTGAGGTCGGGGGATTGTGGAGGCCAGGTCATCTGATGCAGCACTCCATCACTCTCCTTCTTGGTAAAATAGCCCTTACACAGCCTGGAGGTGTGTTGGGTCATTGTCCTGTTGAAAAACAAATGATAGTCCCACTAAGCCCAAACCAGATGGGATGGTGTATCGCTGTAGAATGCTGTGGTAGCCATGCTGGTTAAGTGTGCCTGGAATTCTAAATAAATCACAGACAGTGTCACCAGCAAAGCACCCCCACACCATAACACCTCCTCCATGCTTTACGGTGGGAAATACACATGCAGAGATCATCCGTTCACCCACACCGCGTCTCACAAAGACACGGCGGTTGGAACCAAAAATCTCCAATTTTGACTCCAGACCAAAGGACACATTTTCCCCGTCCTAATGTCCATTGCTTGTGTTTCTTGGCCCAAGCAGGTCTCTTCTTCTTATTGGTGTCCTTTTAGTAGTGGTTTCTTTGCAGCAATTCGACCATGAAGGCCTGATTCACACAGTCCCCTCTGAACAGTTGATGTTGAGATGTGTCTGTGACTTGAACTCTGTGAAGCATTTATTTGGGCTTCAATTTCTGAGGCTGGTAACTCTAATGAACTTATCCTCTGCAGCAGAGGTTACTCTGGGTCTTCTATACCTGTGGCGTTCCTCATGAGAGCCAGTTTCATCATAGCGCTTGATGGTTTTTGCGACTGCACTTGAAGAAATGTTCTTGAAATGTTCCATATTGACTGACCTTCATGTCTTAAAGTAATGATGGACTGTCATTTCTCTTTGCTTATTTGAGCTGTTCTTGCCATAATATGGACTTGGTCTTTTACCAAATAGGGCTATCTTCTGTATACCCCCCCTACCTTGTCACAACAAAACTGAATGGCTCAAACGCATTAAGAAGGAAAGCAATTCCACAAATTAACTTTTAAGAAGGCACACCTGTTAATTGAAATGCATTCCAAGTGACTACCTCATGAAGCTGGTTGAGAGAATGCCAAGAGTGTGCAAAGCTGGAATCAAGGCAAAGGGTGGCTCTTTGAAGAATCTCAAATATTAAATATATTTTGATTTGTTTAACACTTTTTTGGTTGCTACATGATTCCATATGTGTTATTTCATAGTTTTGATGTCTTCACTATTATTCTACAATGTAGAAAATAGTAAAAATAAAGAAAAACCCTTGAATGAGTAGGTGTGTGCAAACTTTTGACTGGCACTGTGTGTGTGTGTGTGTGTGTGTGTGTGTGTGTGTGTGTGTGTGTGTGTTTTATATATATATATATATTAGTTGCCCTCCAGTGGGTGAAGGACAAACAGTTGAAGTCGGAAGTTTACATACACTTAGGTTGGAGTCATTAAAACTCGTTTTTTAAACCACTCCACAAATCTCTTGTTAACAAACTATAGTTTAGGCAAGTCGGTCAGGACATCTACTTTGTGCATGACACAAGTAATTTTTCTAACAATTGTTCACAGACAGATTATTTCACTTATAATTCACTGTATCACAATTCCAGTGGGTCAGAAGTTTACATACACTACGTTGACTGTGCCTTTAAACAGCTTGGAAAAATCCAGAAAATGATATCATGGCTTTAGAAGCTTCGGATAGGCTAATTGGCATCATTTGAGTCAATTGGAGGTGTACCTGTGGATGTATTTCAAGGCCTACCTTCAAACTCAGTGCCTCTTTGCTTGACATCATGGGAAAATCAAAAGAAATCAGCCAAGACCTCCACAAGTCTAGTTCATCCTTGGGAGCAATTTCCAAAAACCTGAAGGTACCACGTTCATCTGTACAAACAATAGTACGCAAATATAAACACCATGGGACCATGTAGCCATCATATCGCTCAGGAAGGACACGCGTTCTGTCTCCTAGAGATGAACGTACTTTGGTGCGAAAAGTGCAAATCAATCCCAGAATAACAGCAAAGGACCTTGTGAAGATGCTGGTGGAAACAGGTACAAAAGTATCTATATCCACAGTAAAACGAGTCCTATATCGACATAACCTGAAAGGCCGCTCAGCAAGGAAGAAGCCACTGCTCCAAAAAAAAAAAAGCCAGACTACGGTTTGCAACTGCACATTGGGACAAAGATCGTACTTTTTGGAGAAATGTCCTCTGGTCTGATGAAACAAAAATAGAACTGTTCGGCCATAATGACCATTGTTATGTTTGGAGGAAAAGGGGGAAGGCTTGCAAGCCAAAGAACACCATCCTAACCGTGAAGCACGGGGGTGGCAGCATCATGCTGTGGGGGTGCTTTGCTGCAGGAGGGACTGGTGCACTTCACAAAAATAGATGGCATCATGAGGAAGGAAAATTATGTGGATATATTGAAGCAACATCTCAAGACATCAGTCAGGAAGTTAAAGCTTGGTCGCAAATGGGTCTTCCAAATGGACAATGACCCCAAGCTTACTTCCAAAGTTGTGTCAAAATGGCTTAAGGACAACAAAGTCAACGTATTGGAGTGGCCATCACAAAGCCCTGACCACAATCCTATAGAACATTTGTGGGCAGAACTGAAAAGGCGTGTGCGAGCAAGGAGGCCTACAAACCTGACTCAGTTACACCAGCTCTGTCAGGAGGAATGGGCCAAAATTCACCCAACTTATTGTGGGAAGCTTGTGGAAGGCTACCCGAAACGTTTGACCCAAGTTAAACAATTTAAAGGCAATGCTACCAAATACTAATTGAGTGTATGTAAACTTCTGACCCACTGAGAATGTGATGAAAGAAATAAAAGCTGAAATAAATCATTCTCTCTACTATTATTCTAACATTTCACATTCTTAAAATAAAGTGGTTTCCTAACTGACCTAAGACAGGGAAGTTTTACTAGGATTAAATGTCAGGAATTGTGAAAAACTGAGTTTAAATATATTTGGCTAAGGTGTATGTAAACTTCCGACTTCAACTGTGTGTGTATATATATATATATATAATCTATATCACACACACACACACTAGGGTTGGCCGATAGCTGATTCAATTAAATATTGTGATATTTGACTTTGACGATATATCGTGAAGTATAAGACTATACTCTGTTTGACTTTACAAATTAAAACAGTGCTGTTTTATCAGTTACGCTGTATCAATATGTTGAAAATGAAGTCTAAATGAATGAACTAAGCCTTATTTTTTTCCACCACACTAAGATGATTTAATGAGAATGTGACTAATATTGTAAGTAAGCACAAATTGCACAGTCTGGAATGATTTTGTCATTAACGACTCAAAACGATTATCGGATATCGCAATATTTGGAGTAGTATATCATAGAGGTCTCCCCAAATATTGGTCAAACCTAACACACACACACACACACACACATAGACACACACACACACACACTCCTCTTGCTATTAGACTATCCCCTAGCTCTTTAACTGAGTTTCATGATTCTGACCTGTGTGTGTGTGTGTGTGTGGTTGGTCAGTCTGTTGGAGGACCGTGTGACGCGGCTCCACGGCCAGCTCCAGAGGACCCAGCAGCACCTCATGAACTCATCTAACCCCGGATCAGTAGACCGCAAGGTCCTGGATGACCTCTACGAAGACATCCACTGGCTCATACTTGTCTCAGGTCAGTGGATCGCTGTGATCATATTTACTCAGAATAGTCCACTCAGCAAATCATTTATTTGTTTATTTATAAGGTACGATTCCCAACATAAATAAGGCACTATCAATCAATCAATCAGGAGTCATCAGGCCAGGTAGTCCTGAGGCATGGTCCTAGGGCTCAGGTCCTCCGGGAGGGGAGGGAGAGAGAGATATTTAGAGGGAGCATACTTAAATTCACACAGGACACCAGAAAAGACAGGAGAATTACACCAGATATAACAGACTGACCCTAGCCCCCTGGCATATAGACTATTGCAGCATATATATACTGGAGGCTGAGACTGTGGGGTTGGGGGACACTGTGGTCCAGTCTGACGATGCCCCCGGACAGGGCCAACCAGGCAGGATATAACCCCACCCACTTTGCCAAAGCACAGCCCTCACACCACTAGAGGGATATCAACAGACCACCAACTTACTACCCTGAGACAAGGCTGAGTATAGCCCACGAAGATCTCCTCCACCTCACAAGCCTGAGGGGGCGCAAAACCGGACAGGAAGATCACGTCTTTTAGACAGCAAGGGCGGTTTGTCGCTCCAGTGCCTTGCCGTTCACCTTCGCACACCTGTGCCAGACTACACTCAATCATGGGACCTACTGAAGAGATGAGTCTTCAGTAAAGACTTAAAGGTCAAGACAGAGTCTGCCTCTCACATGGATAGGCAGACCATTCCATAAAAATGGAGCTCTATAGGCGAAAGCCCTGCCTCCAGCTGTTTGCTTAGAAATTCTAGGGACAATAAGGAGGCCTGCTTCTTGTGACCGTAGCGTACGCGTAGGTATGTACGGCAGGACCAAAGAGGAGAGATGGGTAGGAGCAAGCCATGTACTGCTTTGTAGGTTAGCAGTAAAACCTTGAAATCAGCCCTAGCCTTAACAGGAAGGAATAAGTAATATGATAAAATGTTTTGGTTCTAGTCAAGATTCTAGCAGCCATGTTTAGCACTAACTGAAGTTTATTTTGTGCTTTATCCGGGTAGCCAGAGAGTAGGGCATTGCACTAGTCTAATCTAGAAGTGACAATAGCATGGATTAGCTTTTCTGCGTCATTTTTGGACAAAAAGTTTCAGATTTTTGCAATGTTACGAAGATGGAAAAAAGCTGTCCTTTAAATATTCTTGATATGTTCGTCAAAAGAGAGATCAGGGTCCAGAGTAACGCAGAGGTCCTTCAGTTTTATTTGAGAAGACTGTACAACCATCAAGATTTATTGTCAGATCCAACAGCAAATCTCTTTGTTTCTTGGGACCTAGAACTAGCATCTCTGTTTTATCCGAGTTTAAAAGTGAAACACAGGCTTCCAGGGTAGGCAATTTTGGGGCTTCACAATGTTTCATCGAAATGTACAGCTGTGTGTCGTCCGCATAGCAGTCAAAGTTGACATTGTGTTTCCCAATGGCATCACCAAGAGGTAGTATAGTGAAAACAATAGTGGTTCTAAAACGGAACCTAGTGTTGGAAACATGGCTCATTTCCATCAGTGGTCCCATGTTGTTTTATGCATGGATTTATTGTGTAACAAATCTTTTTAGCATTCAGTCCAATTATGTTCCGTTAGCATAAAATGAAACCTCTAACTGGACTCTGGGGGGCATAGATATCATCCTGACAAATGTACCCTCTAAATACACCTCCGCTGTCTTCAACCAGGATCTCAGCGATCACTGCCTTATTGCCTGCGTCCGTAATGGGTCCGCGGTCAAACGACCACCCCTCATCACTGTCAAACGCTCCCTAAAACACTTTAGCGAGCAGGCCTTTCTAATTGACCTGGCCCGGGTATCCTGGATGGATATTGACCTCATTCCGTCAGTAGAGGATGCCTGGTTGTTCTTTTAAAAGTGCTTTCCTCTCAATCTTAAATAAGCATGCCCCATTCAAAAAATTCAGAACTAAGAACAGATATAGCCCCTGGTTCTCCTCAGACTTGACTGCCCTTGACCAGCACAAAAACATCCTGTGGCGTACTACATTAGCATCGAACAGCCCCCGCGATATGCAACTTTTCAGGGAAGTCAGGAACCAATATACACAATCAGTTAGGAAAGCAAAGGCTAGCTTTTTCAAACAGAAATGTGCATCCTGTAGCACTAACTCCAAAAAGTTTTGGGACACTGTAAAGTCCATGGAGAATAAGAGCACCTCCTCCCAACTGCCCACTGCACTGAGGCTAGGAAACACTATCACCACCAATAAATCTACAATAATCGAGAATTTCAACAAGCATTTTGCTACGGCTGGCCATGCTTTCCACCTGGCTACCACTACCCCGACCACCAGCTCTGCACCCTCCGTTGCAACTTGCCCATGCCCCCCCCGCTTCTCCTTCACACAAATTCAGACAGCTGATGTTCTGAAAGAGCTGAAAAATCTGGACCCCTACAAATCATCTGGGCTAGACAATCTGTAACCTTTCTTTCTAAAATTAGCAGCCGAAATTGTCGCAACCCCTATTACTAGCCTGTTCAACCTCTCTTTCGTAACGTCTGAGATCCCCAGAGATTGGAAAGCTGCCACGGTCATCCCCCTCTTCAAAGGGGGTGATCCAAACAGTTACAGACCTATATCCATCCTGCCCTGCCTTTCGAAAGTATTTGAAAGCCAAGTTAACAAACAGATCACCAACCATTTCGAATCCCACCGTACCTTCTCCGCTATGCAATCCGGTTTCCTAGCTGGTCATGGGTGCACCTCAGCCACGCTCAAGGTCCTAAATTATATTATAACCGCGATCGATAAAAGACAGTACTGCGCAGCCGTCTTCATCGACCTGGCCGAGGCTTTCGACTCTGTCAACCACCGCATTCTTATTGGCAGACTAAATAGCCTTGGTTTCTCAAATGACTGCCTCGCCTGGTTCACCAACTACTTCTCAGATAGAGTTCAATGTGTCAAATCGGAGGGCTGTTGTCTGGACCTCTGGCAGTCTCTATGAGGGTGCCAGAGGGTTCAATTCTCGGGCCAACTCTTTTCTCTGTGTATATCAATGATGTCGCTCTTGCTGCTGGTGACGCTCGGATCCACCTCTATGCGGACGACACCATTTTGTATACATCTGGCCCTTCATTGGACACTGTTAACAAACCTCCAAATGAGCTTCAACGCCATACAACACTGCTTCCGTAGCCTCCAACTGCTCTTAAACACTAGTAAAACTAAATGCATGCTCTTCAACCGATCGCTGCTTGCACCCGCCCACCCGACTAGAATCACTACTCTCGGCGGGTCTGACCTAGAGTATGTGGACAACTACAAATACCTAGGTGTCTGGTTAGACTGTAAACTCTCCTTCCAGACTCACATTAAGCATCTCCAATCAAAAGTTAGATCTAGAATCGGCTTCCTATTTTGCAACAAAGCCTCCTTCACTCATGCTGCCAAACATGCCCTCGTAAAACTGACTATCCTACCGATCCTTGACTTCGGCGATGTCATTTACAAAATAGCCTCCAACACTCTACTCAGCAAATTGGATGTAGTCTATCACAGTGCCATCCGTTTTGTCACCAAAGCACCATATACTACCCACCATTGTGACCTGTACGCTCTTGTTGGCTGGCCCTCACTACATATTCGTCGCCAAACCCACTGGCTCCAGGTCATCTATAAATCACTGCTAGGCAAATCCCTGCCTTATCTTAGCTCATTGGTCACCATAGCAACACCCACCCGTAGTCTGCGCTCCAGCAGGTATATCTCACTGGTCATCCCCAAAGCCAACACCTCCTTTGGCCGCCATTCCTTCCAGTTCTCTGCTGCCAATGACTGGAACGAACTGCAAAAATCTCTGAAGCTGGAGACTCTTATCTCCCTCACTAACTTTAAGCATCAGTTGTCAGAGCAGCTTACCGATCACTGCACCTGTACACAGCCATTCTGAAATTAGCCCACCCAACTACCTCATCCCCATATTGTTATTTATTTTGCTAATTTGCACCCCAGTATCTCTATTTGCACATCATCTTTTGCACATCTATCATTCCAGTGTTAATATGAAATTGTAACTATTTTGCACTATGGCCTATTTATTGCCTTACCTCCATAACTTACTACATTCGCACACACTGTATATATATTTTCTGTAGTATTTTTGACTTTATGTTTTGTTTACCCCATATGTAACTCTGTTGTTTTTATCGCACTGCTTTGCTTTATCTTGGCCAGGTCGCAGTTGTAAATGAGAACTTGTTCTCAACTGGCTTACCTGGTTAAATAAAGGTGAAATAAAAACTAAAAATAAATAGACTATGTATTTAGATCTCCTTAGTTGTTTTTAGGGACTACATTTAGGCTGTGAGGCAGGCTGCGCTGGTGTATTGGTGCATGGCAGGAATGTTGTTTCGGGGAGGGCCATGCCACCAGTTGTACAACTGCTTGCTGTATAGCACATTTTAGCATTCCCATTGGCTACAGAATTCCCCTTCGGTGCATAACTCAATTTGCACCCCTAGTTGGTTCTCTAAGTGTGCTCAGAGTTTTCTAGGGTATCCTAGTAGTGCTATGCCATTGGTAGTAATGTATTAGTGGACCGCTCCACTGCAGTGAGCATGATGTTTGAAAGGATTTTCTTCTGAAAGTGCATCCTTAATGGAGTGTTTCTGGCTAGTGCTAGACCTAGTTGTAATTGTGAATGCAAATGATTTGTGTGTGTTCCAGGCTACCTCCTGGCAGATGACCCTCAGGGTGAGACTCCTCTGATCCCGGCGGAGGTGATGGAGTATTCTATCAACCACTCTACTGAGGTGGACATCAACACCACCTTGCAGATACTGGGCTCCCCCGGAGAGAAGGCCTCCTCTATCCCAGGATGCAACAGGACAGACTCTGTCATCAGGTAAGGGAGGGACTACTTCATTGCAAACACCTCGTTTCCCAGATCTAAATTAGATGGCTGGTTTGAAAGGAATGACTTAAACCAACAGACACTCAGGCCCTCGTCAGTGGACCAGAGTTGCTCATCTCTGCTATATATCCATCAACCAATGGGTCTAAAATGCACTGTCTCAGTCAGTGATCTAACGAACAGCTTGGACAGTCTCCCCTCACGGTCTCAGTCTGTGATCTAATGGACCGTTTGGACAGTCTCCCCTCACTCTCTACAGCAGCTGAGAGCTAAGCGGCGGATTTGTTCACTAAGCCCTGGTTGTAGTGCTCTGTCACGTTCACACCAGTGGGCTGTCTGTCCGGAGTGTGCCTCGTAAAACCTACTGTCCCATGGCATGGCAGCAGCCTTTCCCTTATATTATTTTCCAGGCGGGGCACAAAGGTCCACATAGCACTACACAGGCCATATGGCACGGAAACTGTCCATTGAAGCCAACAGAAGGCATTTTGATGTAGATATGGGGTCCTCGCACCACCAGTACAGTACAATTGTAGGGGAAATATTACGTACAGTGCAGGGCCAATGATCCACCCGTGTGTGTGTGCACGTATTTGGGTGTGGCCCCCTGGGGGTGTGGTGCCAGCACCACAGAGGGGGAATGCCCTGGCACAGACCCAGCCATGCCAGTCGCTAACACACACACACACAGGCCCTTGGACATGGACACACACACAGGATCTTGGACACACACCCTCGGACACACACGATAGCGTAGCAGCCTAGTCAGCCTTACAGGGCCAGAGGAATGGAAAGACGAGGCCGGGCATCGGATTTCCTAACAACACTGTGCGACCCAGGCTCTGTTAATGTCAATGGGCTTTTGTTTTAGCAAACAATGTGAAACCCTGCACTGTCATGTCCAAGATCCCTGTATATAGACTCCCTACTGTTATTTTATTTTACTGCTGCTCTTTAATTATTTTAAATTTTTTACTTAACGATTTTTTTTCTTCTTAAACTGCATTGTTGGTTAAGGGCTTGTAAGTAAGCATTTCACTGTAAGGTCTACACCTGTTGCATTTGGCGCATGTGGCAAATACAATTTGATTTGATTTGTGGGCACGCACTGAGAGCCATCTCTTACATACAGAACACTAAGCTGCACTAAGCCCTCTATCTCTCTGGCCTTTGTCACATGTGTGTGTTTGTGTGTTTGGTCATTTGTTGTCTGAGTTACTGAAATGAACAGACACTAAATCACCACCTCTTTCTTTTGTTCTTACCCTCCTGTCTTGCTCATCCTGGCCTTGGCTTCTTATTACAATTTATCCCCCTCTTTTTCCTGCTATCACTCTCTCCTCTTTCTTTCTCCTCTCTCGCCATTTCTTTCTCTCTTTAACCTCTTTATCATTCCTTCACTCTCCCCGTCCCCTCTCTCACAGGTTGTTGTCAGCGGTGTTGAGGACGTCAGAGGTAGAGTCCAGGGCCACCAGGGCCAGTCTGACAGAGCTGCTCAGCCCTCAGATGGGGAAGGACATTGTCTGGTTCCTCAGACGCTGGGCCAAGACTTATCTACTGGTGGACGAGAAACTCTACGGACAGGTACAACTACCACCAGAATATGGATGTGACAAATGGAGGAAAAAGATTTTAACATTTAAGCTGTCCTTTTTTTTTTACAAAAATTCATACAATTCCATGTAGGGTCACAATGCAGATGGTCTACATCGCGCTTCCCGCGGACAGAGAAAATAGTTTATGCTGCTGATGCTCTTGCTTTTCAGGAGAGTAGCGCGTGTAGCTTGTTGTTGTCCAATCACAAGTCATCAAACCGGCACTAGGCTACAGTCGTAGAGCTGGAGCCTCTGTTAAGTTATTAGGAGATATCTAGGCTAATCAATGGAAGATGGAATTACAATGACAGAACTAAAAGTTAAATGAGAAGGACAGGCTACAACACTGAGCCAACAGGTAGTAATAATCTGAATGGAGTTGTTCTTATTTACTGTAAGATTCAGGAGGTGAGAAAGCGCAAAGTTCAAGTTATGTAGTCTCAATTAGCCTAGCTAACGTTAGCTAGCTATCTTATCATGGTTTTATGCAGTCAAGACAGATACTATGTAATCAGATGAGATGATAAATATAGTGCATTCGGAAAGTATTCAGACCCGTTGACTTTTTCCAAATGTTGTTACGTTACAGCTGTCATCAAGGCAAAGGGTGGCTTCTAGAAGAATCTCTAATATAAAATCTATTTTGATTTGTTTAACACTTTTTTCGTTACTACATGTTTCCATATGTGTTATTTCATAGTTTTGATGTCTTCACTCTTATTCTACAATGTAGAAAATAGTAAAAATAAAGAAAAACCCTGGAATGAGTAGGCGTGTCCAAACTTTTGACTGGGACTGAATAGTGGGAGTATCTTTTTTATTTTATTTTTTATATACATACGGTTAGGGATTTATTTTCTTAAGGTTAAGGACACCATTTTGTTGAAACGTTCACACCCCATACACTAGACACCACTGTCTGATTTGTCTTAATGTGGTCGTCCATAATACAACACTTCTCACTCCAACCCTCTCTGAGTGTGAAGGCCCAATAACACTGGCATGGTAATGGACTTGACATGGATTTGACGGATGACTTCATAAATAGTCTTTGTGACATTCACTGATGCGGAGAAGGCCACTGGACACTTGAGGTGGTGAAAATGCCAGGGATTGTCCTCTATCACTGTCTACAGTAGCTGAGCTATGAGAGCTCTCTAAGTGTTCTTAAAGTATCCCTGTAAAGCCCTCCTTGTAGAGTTCTGTCATGTTTACACCACCAGTGTACTGTCACCTTAACACCAGTGTACTCTCTGGAAGTGTGTCTTGTAAAACCTGGTTCCCAGTGGGTTGTTGCATGGTGTGGAGCAGTGCAGTATACCACTGGACTGGACCGTGCAGCCAATCGACATCAGATCAGCAGCCATGGCCATTTATCATGTGATCTGTTCAAGTGTTGTAGTGATTTTCATCTATCCCTCACACCTATCTTTCTCTCTTTTCATCCCTCCTTCAGATCAGTATACCCCTGAGCACGGCGTTCGGGGCCGACACGGAGGGGGCCCAGTGGATTGTGGGATACCTGCTGGAGAAGGTGATAAACAACCTGTCTGTGTGGAGCTCTGAACCTGAACTGGCTAATGACACGGTGGAGCTACTGGTCTGTCTGGTGGAGAAAAGGGAGAGGTGAGACACTGACTGACTGACTGACTGACTGACTGACTGACTGACTGACTGACTGACTGACTGACTGACTGACTGACTGACTGACTGACTGACTGACTGACTGACTGACTGACTGACTGACTGACTGACTGACTGACTGACTGACTGACTGACTGACTGACTGACTGACTGACTGACTGACCGACCGACCGACCCCAACTATGCACACACAAAAATCTCAAATCTTTCTCCATCCCTCCCCTCTCAGGGCCAACATAGTGGTGCAGTGTGAGAACTGGTGGAACTTAGCGAAGCAGTTTGCCAGCCGCAGCCCTCCCCTGGACCTGCTGTCCAGCTCAGTACAAAGGACCTTGATGAAGGCCCTGGTTCTGGGGGGCTTCGCACACATGGACTCAGACACCAAGCAGCAGTACTGGACCGAGGTAGGGAATCCTATAGAACCCCAAAGAACACAAAGACTGCCTATTTCTAAAATGTATCTTATTAAAATGTGATTTTAAACCTAACCACACTGATAACCTTAAGCCTAACCTTACATTGAAATTAAGACCAAAAATGTTGTTTTCATGAATTTTTACAATCTGCCAATTTTTACTTTGGAAACCCTACCAAACAGCGCTCACCTTACTGCTGTCCCCCACCCACACAACAACGATGGTATTAATTCATGCAATTTTAGGTTCTGTGCCTCTCCTCCATGTTGTCAGTACGTACTTCATGTCCCACACCTCATCAATGTGATGGCTTGTTGCAGTGATGTATGACAGCGTGTTCATAGACGTCCAACAATCTGTTGTTAATGCCACGTATCGTGTTTGAGAGCTCGCGCTTTGTACTTGCAGAGCAGCAGGGCTGTCACGGTTTTTCAACATGGCATCTTGTAGTCTGGTTCTAGATATGCCATTAGGGCAAGGTTCCCCAACTGGCGGCACGCAGGTGATTTCATTTGGCTCCCCATGTTTTCTGAGCCAAATAAATATATATGTTTTTACATAAAACACTGTAAAAACACCAGCAAATCAGCTCTAAGTGATTAGAATTTTGGAAATCTGTTCCAAAGTATTCCCACGCATAATAGAGATATATGTGATTGTATACAAATGTAAGCAAGGTTTGAAATGTTTGTTTTACTCAAATAATCTATCTGTTTGGGCTTCTTGCAGTCAATTTGTAATTATGTTCCGGCCCCCTGACCATCCGCTCGAGAAAGAATTGGCCCTCGGCTGAATCTAGTTGATGATCCCTGCATTGGGTTATTGAAGCCGACATCCTCTACCATTGACAATGGCTTTATATCAACTGCAATAATTTCTGTAATCAGCACTGTGATTTTCTTACTCCGTCCATTATCGCACTGCTGCCAGAAGTGGTTTGGATCTCACGGTGCCTCTTTTTCAGCATTGCGCTTGTACTGCCACTGTAGCTCAATTCCACCTTACAAAGTTTGCATTTCATCACCTTCTCATTTACCTTCTCAAAGTATTGCCATACAGAACCCCCCTCTCTGAATCCCTAAATGGAACTAACTTCGCACACATGCCCTTCCAAGGACCCAGGGAAATGGAGCCATAACTGAAAGCTCTCGTTTCATTTCCCTTCAGATTTCCTCTATATAGGCTCTCTTTCCCATAGACTTTAGTTGGTAACAAGTTGTGAGATCTCAAGTGTCTTTTCCCTACTGTGGTGATTCTATTTAACCACTCTCCCCATAGACTTTAGTAGTAACAAACGGTGAAGCCAAATGATTTAGCCAAAACCATTACACCTCCCTAGAGTCTATGGTTTGATAATGATCCTCATAATGATCTTGAAGGCCATTCTATAATAATGCAAGACGACTCCAAAGCCATTAGTAGAGCTCTATGAATGAGACGGCAGCTGTCTTGCCTTCCAGCTGATGTGACCGTAGAGTGTGTACAGTACAGTAGGCCATTGGAGAAGAGGTGGGAATGAAAATAGCCTGCAGCTGATCTCTCTTCTTCACCACTCTCCTTCTCCTTTTGGGGGTTGGGGCCAAGTTACTGTAAAGCACTTTGTAACAAATGTTGTTGATTGATTAGATGTGATTGATTGATCACCTCTCCCCCTTCATCCCTCTTTCTTCCTTCCTCCCTCCCTCCTTTCTCTTCCTCTCCCTCCAGGTGCTGCACCCCCTCCAGCAGCGCTTCCTCAACCTGATCAACCAGGAGAACTTTCCCCAGATCTGTCAGGAGGAGAGTGTGAAGCGGGAGATCGTGGCCACCCTGGAGGCGCTGTGTGGCATCGCCGAGGCAACGCAGATCGACAACGTGGCGTCTCTCTTCAGCTTCCTCATGGACTTCCTGTCCAGCTGCATCGGCCTGATGGAGGTGTACCGCAACACGCCCGAGACCATCAACCTCATCATCGAGGTGTTTGTGGAGGTCGCCCACAAACAGATCTGCTACCTTGGAGAGGTGAGGATAGCAAAAATACTGAATCGTTTTAATAATAACCACACACTTAGAATTACAAATCCCTACACTTGTATTATGTGTAGGGCAATTGAATCGGATATGGGGGTTCCACTGGAAAGAGTTAACAGCCACCTCTTCTCCCTCTCTGACCCCCCAGTCAAAGTCTATGAAGCTGTATGAGGTGTGCCTGACGCTACTACAGGTCTACTCTAAGAACAACCTGGGCAGGAAGAGGGCTGATGTGGCTGCTGAGGAGGACCAGTACCAGGACCTGCTGCTCATCATGGAGCTGCTCACCAACCTGCTCTCTAAGGAGTTCATTGACTTCTCAGACACAGGTGTGGACGGTGGGTGTGTGTACATCTCCACCATCCCCAATGACATCCAGTCTGCATTTATGTATGATATTTTAGGTTCCTAGTTAGTTATCAATACTTACAGAATGCTCTGGTGTGTGTGTGTGTGTTGATGGTGGAACAGATGAGGTTTTCCGGGGGCAGGAGCAGGGTTCGGGAGCGGCAGGTCGGTCGGTGTCGGCTGCAGACGTAGTTCTGTTTGGAGTAAACATCATTCTGCCTCTCATGTCTCAGGACCTGCTCAAGGTAAGACCCAGGGCCCAGTCTCAATACTTAAACAATGCTTCTTCCTTCCTTGAAGTAATCACTGATGTACATTCTGTCACTGTACTACAAACTGTTGTTAAACTGGTTTGTCTCTGTGTGTTTTCAGTTCCCGTCTCTGTGTAATCAGTACTACAAGCTCATCACGTTCATCTGTGAGATCTTCCCTGAGAAGATCCCCCAGCTACCAGAGGAGCTGTTTAAGAGTCTAATGTACTCCCTAGAGCTGGGCATGACTTCCATGAGTTCAGAGGTCAGCCAGCTGTGTCTGGAGGCTCTGTCCCCCCTGGCCGAGCAGTGTGCCAAGTCCCAGGAGAAAGACACGCCCCTCTTCATCGCCACACGCCACTTCCTCAAGGTGAGGCACCCCCTCCAGGGATTTCCTCCTAACTACAAGGTCTGCTTCATTCCATTATGCTCAAAAATAGGAAATGTTTTGTAATGAAAATCTCTCCCTCTCTAGTTGGTGTTTGACATGCTGGTACTGCAGAAACACAACACAGAGATCACAGTGGCAGCGGGAGAAGCTCTATATACACTAGTGTGCCTGCATCAAGTGAGTATCCTTTGTTTTAAACTTCCTGCACACATGTATCTCATTCTTTTTGATTGGCTATGGTGATGTATGTGGACAAAAAACAAAAGTAATGTAAAATGTAATTGTACCTCCTGTCGGCCTTGTAGGATGATGTAATTTCCTATTCTCTCTCCTCCCCTCGCTCCAGGCGGAGTACCAGGAGCTGGTGGAGTCTCTGCTTGCCACCCAGCGAGACGCCATCATCTACCAGCGACTGGCTGACGCCTTCAACAAGCTGACAGCCAGCAGTACGCCGCCAAGCATGGACCGCAAGCAGAAGGTGGCCTTCCTCAAGAGTTTGGAGGAGTTTGTGTCCAATGTAGGGGGGCTACTTTGTGTCAAATAACTATTAGCCCCCCAGCTCCCCTCCTCCCTAGCCCCTCTATATCCAAGCCGCTCACAGATGATTTACCTACCTACCTTGACCACATCTGACCAAGCCAAACCATTGAGAAGACGGACAGACCGAGCTGATGAGCTGCACTGTTAGACTGTGTGAAAGAAAATAGGGGAGGTTGAGACACTGAAGGGAGCACTGGACTGGACTGGACTAGGGTGTGGTTTGGGCAGTTTCCACGCCCGCTCCTCCCCCTATCCCCTCCTTTTTCCTCAAAGGCCCCCAGCGCACACATACAGTGGCTTCGGGGATTGGGATTTGGTGGGGGGGGGGGGGGGGTCAGAGAGGGTTGGACTTGCCCCCTGTACCCCTCTGTCCCATCATCCAATCATTGTTTACGTTTGCCAGTGGGAGGGTTGGGATGAACACAGCAGGAGGGGCCAATCTGTTCTGAGAACGCTATGCCCCTTCCTCTCTCCCCATCCCCATCCCCTCGCTCCCCCTCCCAGAGTGCCTTTGTTTTCTTGTTTGTGTCATGTGTCGACTCCAGTGTGTCTGTGTGGCCAAGCTGAGACGTGTCTTACAGCAACAACTGTGCCTGTCACACACACCAAAAACACGGTGGAAGCACGCACATACAAATCTCCATGACCACGAGAGGCTAGATCCCACCACCTTCGGGTTGCTGAACCTGTTAACTGGAGGGCCGATGACAAAAAAACAATTCACTTCGTGTTCATCAAGGGTGTATATATGTGGGGGGGTTTTTAAGTGGAAAAAATGTATGTTTAAAACAATTACTGAAAGTTTTTATAAGATGATGGCAAAGAAGCTGAATTTGTATGGTTATGATGAGTTCACTTGAAGAAAAGGGAGGCAAGTTTGAAAACGTTGGATTTAGTTTTGATTTCTTTATCATTCTAGATTGTAATTGTATTCTACGCCAACCTTTTGTCTCCCTAGCACCATTTCAGTCCTGACTGCCCATAGCCAATATACAGATAATTGAAGGCCTTAGGAAGTTTGGGCCCTTGAAGTTTAGCAATGTTCTCTCTAGTTTTATTTTTCTATGTCACAACCACTATCTCCACTTCAAAACACACTGAATGGAAGTTTAAGAAGCAATAACAAACCAAAAAAGGAACAGAGCCACTTGTTTTAACCATGGCATTTGAGATGGACTCACTGCCCTTCCTCTGTTTAGAGCACTACCCTGATTTATTTTGGAATGCCTGAATGAATTGTATTGAAATGTAAAAGTGTACATAAACTTATTATATAAAATATTGAGTTGTTTTTCCTCTTCTTTTTAAATTGTTTGTTGTTTTCATTTTGATCCATCTCAATGTCCTGTTATACAGAATATGGGAAAAAAAAGTTCCATATCCAGTTTGGATCATTCTTGAAAACATAAAACCCAAAGTGCTTTCAATATCTCTGAAATAAAGAATAGTTGAAATTAGAAATTGTTTTCAGAAAATTACATTTACTGAAGTAAATGTGGTGTGCTTGCTAGTCTTGAAGTATTTATGGTTATGAAATGGTAGTAGTAGTAGTGACTGCAGTAGTAGTAATGGTAGTAATAGGGTTTTTGTAGGCTGTTAGTTATAGTGACCTACTGTGGGGTGGTTTGGAATTGTTATAGTGGGCTAGTATAGTAGGCTAGAGAGTACTATCATAAGCCATATGTTTTTAAGCTTTCTAAATGTTTTAGTTACAACATTCTGAATGTTTTGTGGCAGTGATTTAGGTTGAGAATGTTGAAGCTTGCATTCTGCCATTGAAATGAATGGGGGCTTTAACATGCTTTATAGTTTATGAAGTAGGAATGGTAGAAAAAAGCTGTGTTGAAGCCATCTAAGTTGAGTCAGTCTGCACATGTGAACATTGGGGTGGTGTTAGTAGCTGAAATGCATGGAGCAGTCAATGGTAAATATAAAATGTAGCCTTTGAAGTCTGGAGCTTTTATGCTAATTTGAAATTGTTATAGTTCAATAATAGAATCAACAATCTTTTGAGAACCAAGTTGTCAGTTTGTACATGTCAAAGTTGGTTTGGTGTTTGTAGCTTTAACGGTTCAACAGAAGTGGTGAATCCAAATACTTTATACAATATATATACAGTGGGGGGAAAAAGTATTTAGTCAGCCACCAATTGTGCAAGTTCTCCCACTTAAAAAGATGAGAGGCCTATAATTTTCATCATAGGTACACGTCAACTATGACAGACAAATTGAGAAAATAAAATCCAGAAAATCACATTGTAGGATTTTTTATGAATTTATTTGCAAATGATGGTGGAAAATAAGTATTTGGTCACCTACAAACAAGCAAGATTTCTGGCTCTCACAGACCTGTAACTTCTTCTTTAAGAGGCTCCTCTGTCCTCCACTCGTTACCTGTATAAAAGACACCTGTCCACAACCTCAAACAGTCACACTCAAAACTCCACTATGGCCAAGACCAAAGACCTGTCAAAGGACCCCAGAAACAAAATTGTAGACCTGCACCAGGCTGGGAAGACTGAATCTGCAATAGGTAAGCAGCTTGGTTTGAAGAAATCAACTGTGGGAGCAATTATTAGGAAATGGAAGACATACAAGACCACTGATAATCTCCCTCGATCTGGGGCTCCACGCAAGATCTCACTCCGTGGGGTCAAAATGATCACAAGAACGGTGAGCAAAAATCCCAGACCCACACGGGGGGACCTAGTGAATGACCTGCAGAGAGCTGGGACCAAAGTAACAAAGCCTACCATCAGTTACACACTACGCCGCCAGGGACTCAAATCCTGCAGTGCCAGACGTGTCCCCCTGCTTAAGCCAGTACATGTCCAGGCCCGTCTGAAGTTTGCTAGAGTGCATTTGGATGATCCAGAAGAGGATTGGGAGAATGTCATATGGTCAGATGAAACCAAAATATAACTTTTTGGTAAAAACTCAACTCGTCGTGTTTGAAGGACAAAGAATGCTGAGTTGCATCCAAAGAACACCATACCTATTGTGAAGCATGGGGGTGGAAACATCATGCTTTGGGGCTGTTTTTCTGCAAAGGGACCAGGACGACTGATCCGTGTAAAGGAAAGAATGAATGGGGCCATGTATCGTGAGATTTTGAGTGAAAACCTCCTTCCATCAGCAAGGGCATTGAAGATGAAACGTGGCTGGGTCTTTCAGCATGACAATGATCCCAAACACACCGCCCGGGCAACGAAGGAGTGGCTTCGTAAGAAGCATTTCAAGGTCCTGGAGTGGCCTAGCCAGTCTCCAGATCTCAACCCCATAGGAAATCTTTGAAGGGAGTTGGAAGTCCGTGTTGCCCAGCGACAGCCCCAAAACATCACTGCTCTAGAGGAGATCTGCATGTCAAAATACCAGCAACAGTGTGCGAAAACCTTGTGAAGACTTACAGAAAACGTTTGACCTGTGTCATTGCCAACAAAGGGTATATAACAAAGTATTGATAAACTTTTGTTATTGACCAAATACTTATTTTGCTGTATACAAGCACACCATTCCAGACCAGTCTGCATGTTTTATAGTTTGAATGTCATTTCCATCTTAAACAGTTGCAGACTAGTAGCGACCAGAATTTTTCCCATTAAAGTCTATGGCCCCTGAAATTCTACAAATATGGTTGTAGTGTAAAAAGTATAAGTAGTATAATATAATAATAATATGCCATTTAGCAGACGCTTTTATCCAAAGCGACTTACAGTCATGTGTGCATTCATTTTTACGTATGGGTGGTCCCGGGGATCGAACCCACTACCCTGGCGTTCGCCATGCTCTACCAATTGAGCTACAGAGGACCACAAAACGTTTTTTTTACAAGCACACTGACAATCATCAGTACTGGTGCCAGTCTGCACGTGTTAAAGGAGTAGTTCACTATTTTAAAACTTGATGTTCGATGGTTCCTCACCCTGAAAGTAGTCTATGGGCCAGGAGATACTATAATCCATGGTTCAGTTTTCTTTAAACAGCCACTACAAACTTCAGCTAACTTTATCCACCACAAGCTAACAATCAATGGAATTGATGGAGGCATGTGAGCATGTTTTTTTAAAGTCGCCAAATCACCTTAAGTAGCATCAAACCAAATACGGAGTTTGTTTGAATAGATTTTCGGTGATTTGGACATTATCACTTCCATTGATTGTTAGCATGTGGCGGCTAACGTTAGCTGAAGTTTGTAGTGGCTATTTAAAGATAACTGAACCATGGATTACAGTTTCAGGGGGAGGGACCATCTAACATCAAGTTGTAAAATAGTGAACTACTCCTTTAAAGTGAAAGTTATTTATAAATGTTACATGGAGAAAATCGGACCTCCCTTCAGCAAAATATATTTAACCTAAACCCTCCCTGAACGCTTCAAAAAAAAAGTGACCTTTCCCTATATACAAACCAATTAAGTGGATAGAGAACATGCCTACCGTTTACCCTCACTTCTTGGACAGACCAGAGCCTTAGATATGCAGTTTTAGAGACTGTTCTTCATCCTGTATGCATTACATGGCAACGCATGCATTTTGATGGCGCTGTGGGCCAGAGGGTTGTGGGTTCACAGACCACCGTGGACAAACAAGAGTAGGGGTGGAAAGATCTCCTTATAGTAAAATAATCTATCGTATTTTCAGGTCATTTTTTTAATACCACACAAATGACCGAAATTACAGGCTAAGAATGGACAGAGAGATATGCCTATGTGTTCATCTTATCATATAATCTCCAACACTAAATCAGTGTGTCTTGTTTGCAACGAAACTGTCCCTGTTTGCAAATAATTCAATCTAAGAAGTCATTAGGAATCTGAGCATGGTACTTTCAGAAGTTAGGCCTACCTTTCCACCCCAGACAGAGTAGGCCTACTGACACAGAAAATGTAAGCTTTAACTGCTGGCTCCTCTTCTTCCATGGATTAACCCAAGGAAAGGTCACAAGTGTTTCCCTAAAAGCTGTCTGAGTTTAAACATCTATTGTACAGAAAGTGAATAGCTTAATCAATTGATAGTGACATAATTAGGTTACTTCCCAAGCAAAGTCATGTTTTGTCTCCTCGGCTATAGAAGGTTGTAGCTCAGCCTTTCCCGGGTATATTTACAGCTTGTTTGTAGCTTAAAGCATTGCGGACCAAAGCGCTGTTAAACAGTAGATCACTTTATATAAATCAATCTGTTTTATTATCTTCAAAATCTTAAACTAACAAAGGGTAGTCCTGTGCTTTTTGCCATTTATTTTAATAAAAGGTAGGCCTATGGCATACCCCCTGAATTCGAGTCCTGGTTTTAAATGAAAAGCCCTTCACTGACAGGGAGGTAGGCTATTTAAAGAGTGCATGGTGGGTGGAGGAATTGGCCGACAAAATCTATGGATATAGCAGCCTATAGCCTAATTTAGTCTGTCGAACAGGTAGACCTACCTCTTATTTATTAAATATCAAGAAATAGGCTCCAACACAAAGCCCTGTTGTTGTTAGTAAAGTCAAATTAAAATGAAGACTGTTGAAATGAATTATGCCTACTCGAATTTCCCTACTTTCAGCACCATGCGCTGTCCATTTCCGATTGATTGTGCCTCAGCTGCTGCTTCAAGTTTCAGCATCACAATGTAAATTACTCGAATCTGGCTTATTGTGAAGTCAATAACTCTGATAAATACATAATGGGCAATAAACATATTGTTTTTATTCAAATCAAGTATAGTAGTAGCAAGCTATCAAAGTTTACCTCCGGTCCTCCTCATCTTCGCGCTCTCCTCAAACTGAGCAGAGCATAGGCTATAGGCTAGGATGCCCGCAAGATATTGCTTTTTTGGGGGGGGGGGACTAGGCCTAATAAATAAATACAAATCGGAAGAAACCTTTGACTCTCCTCCTGAACTGCCACTGTAGGTCTACACAGCACCGTATCGGTGCGTGGGTAAAACCACTGGGGAAGCCCCCAGTGATTTTAACATTTTAATTCATATTGCGACCGTGATATATAGGCCTAAATTCAACCACACCTTTGTTTTTATCACAAAACCGGATAGCAACCTCTGTCCAGTAAAGTCCACAAAGCATATTGCATGTACAGTAACAGACAGTTACATGACCTACGGCATGGTTCATGTTTCCGACATTTTCGGACCACTAAACAAGTATTAATTTAGAACCACAGAAAGTTACTGCAAGTCGCAAAGAAACAGGAGCTGCCTCCACTATTCCAGCACCATTTCAACTTCAACATTTCAACATAATCAAATCACCTCTGCTTAGTCTAATACAGTGAAAATCCAATCAACGTAAGCTAAATATGATGTGGCTGTCCATGGTTCTGATTTATGTGTGTGCGTGCGTGCGCGTTCGTGCAAGTAGAAAAACATGTTGACTCACCCTACTTATAGAGAAACGCCAATGCCATCCTCTTCTCTTTCATGCTCGCTGTCTTTCCTTGTCATAT